CAATTGCAAAAGTACTGGATATAGATGCCAGTAATATGAGAGCAGAACAAAGGTATCTTCTACTCACATTACTATATTCACATATTAAAAAGGTCATTTATTTCAAGAATCACTGCAGATATTTTATACCTGGAATAACTTCCCTGAATCATGTAATTGTTTAATTGAGCTAAACAATTTCCACAGGTTTATTTCTATACAAAGTATGCCTTTGCATTTTCCTCCTCTTCTACTCTGTCAGGCAACTATACAGCAACTTACTATTATTACTAATGCAAATGAGGGGGTAGGATACAAAATGAGTTTCTTCCCCAACTCAAATTTCAAAAATTATTTACTCTGTAAAAGACTCTAGACCTGGAAGTCTCATTTAATGTTTTCCCGTTATCACAAGATGCTCCCCTCAGATTTTCTGATCTGTAACTTGCAAACAGTTACAATTGTTTTCAAAGTAAGGAATGCAAAACAGCAATACAAAAAAAAAGTTAGATATTAATCTCATCCTGCTCACTGCTATAAATTGGTACTTTTCCTCCTCAAATATTGCCATAGTTTTTTTGATCACTGTTGATTAGACAGCTAATGCAGACCCACAAACTGTCTGTCATTTTAATATTTTTAAAGGGCTGTAATTTTTCAAAGGGAGAGGGTGGTTTTGTTTTTTTGTAAGAGGGTATCAGAAATGTTAAGGTGAGGGGCAGTACAGGGTTTCAAATCTTATGAACTGATCAAGGAGGCATCAGAGAAACAAGAAGGGAAAAAACCCCAAATGAAAAACAAAAGGGAAAATGCTAATACGGCTCAGCACAAAGCATTAAAATAAGGATCAGATTAGAAGTGTGTACAGTTCTGCAAAAAAACAGGTTCTGTTTTCCACATCTTAAGACATCCTAGATATTATAAATAGAAGTGTATGCTCAGCAGAAGACCTATGAATAAAGAGGTTCTCGAGTATCTGGCACCTCAATAATATCTGCAGTTCAGGAGCTGCCACACAAAAAAGAGTACACCGAATCTATGAAGCTTTAAGGTAAAGACCTAGTTTTTTGTTTTTGGTTTTGGTTTTTTTTTGGCAGCTTTGGATATGAAATATCTGTCATTTGAGAAGGTCTAAGTTTCATCACCATAAACTTCAAGAGAAATACTGTTAAAGGAATCTTACATTAATTGCCCTCATTATGGGCACGTGACCAGAATCAAACCACCCTTGAAGCCAACAAGACACTTCTTCTGTGGAACCATTCCCAGATCTTACTGCTTACTACCAAAGTAATTTTAAACAGACCCACACTTTTTACACAGAAGTATCCATAAAAAACTACCCATAAGACTGCTTTAGCTATTTATTTGCTCTACTGTAGCAATAAATTGAGACAGAGAGCCACACAATCCAGAAGTATTAACAGAACCTGGTCCAAAACCTGGCCTGAAGGATTAAGGGCAAATTTACAACCCCTCTAATTAGTACACTTGAAATGAATTATCAAAATGAAAACTGCTTAACAGTTCTTAAAAGTTTAATCTCCTTGAAAGAAAAAAAAAACCTCTTTTATTTTTAAGAAAAGTAGTTGGTTTTTCTTAACTAAACAAATTAATCACAGCTATCAAACTTGGAAAGCCTGTTAAAGCACTCATCAAGGCAGAACATTCTGTAGTTTTCAGCTTCAATACACTTGCTTAGTAATTCATCCTTATAGAATAGACAAATAGATCCCACAGTAATGATACATCCCAGAAGCAGACTGATCACTCTAAATTCCAGCAGTCACCATCTGGAATCTAGAAGCCCACTACAAGTAGTATCTTGCCAAGTATGGGTTTTCCCCCCCCTGAGAAGAGCTCTTTAAACATATGAAATTTAGGAGGGAAAAAAAAAATCTGATTTCAGTTTATACTAAAACAGAAACAAATCCTACCCACCAGAAAAGATGACAGAATACACAGATACTAGGAAGACAGCACTGCTTTGTGCTATTACTTCTGATTTTTATTACTTTTAATATTATATTTCACTAATTATATTATTTATTATTAATTTATTATTGTATTATTGATTTTTCTAGCAAGACTTGTTTTGAGGTTTGAAATATACATGAAACAAAAAAAAGCAGATAATGCATTAGCATATTGTAAAAACTAAGTAGTCACTGAGATTATAAAAAATGTCTGTGAAGACATAGCAAGACTATCAAAGGCAATCAACAAATAAAGACTTAACTCATAAGTATTAAAGACTGAGTCCTCAAATATCTGAAACATCAGAACACAGAAAAAAAGAAACCCAAACTCACCAAACAGTACCATCAGAAAAGAACCTGTCTGTACTCTCTGCTATTTTCAAAACTTCTGCAGCTCATGATTCCAGAAAATTTATCTCAACTATATGATGGTGTGCTTTGCATGGTGGAAGGAAACATCCTTCCTTCCTAAACAAATCAATTTTGAATTGACTGCTATCCATCCCACTTTTGGAAGTTATTCTTTAACAAATACATTTAAGCAACACTTTCTGAAAATGTGAGTGGACAGTAGTATGTAATACCTATCTAAGGGACAGAACTACTCACAGAGCAGGCTTTTCTCTTAAAGAACACAAGCCAAGTTAATCATCCTAAGAAAATGTAGGCCTGCATGTTTTCTTAGTCTTTAAATCTGTAAGAGACCTAGAAAGGACTTTTTTTTAACAAGGCACTAACTATACAGCACTTATATTAAGCAACTAAATAAGCCATTTTACTCAAAGCAAAGATTTCTATGCAACATGCCTTAGCTATTTGGACAGCTGAGGGGTGCATGGAGGACAAAAACCCCAGTCATAGGAAGGCAACCTTGTTCCTTTCCTCTTAAAGGAACTTAAAATTCTCAGGAAAGTAATCGTAACAAGTAATGGATATACAGGAGGAACAGGATTCTCTTCTTTCTTTCTTTCTTTCCCAAAAGGTGCTAGAAATCCTCAACTTATCCCACAGGACAAGTCAACAACCTCCTATGACCTGCATATGTTAACTTCAGCACCTGCAAGATCACACTGTTCAACCACTACCTGGAGAGCAAAGAGTGGCATTTAAAATGTACCCATAGAAGGAAGAAAATAATAACTCACTTCAACTCTCAGTTACACTTCTCAGCATAGTCATGTTTCATATTTTGTTTCACTTAAAAATAATTTTACTTTAAAGTCCTCAGGTACCAATGAATAGGGAGGCCTTGCTGCCTCTGGTACCATCTGGTAGGACAGGATTTCCAGAGAATTTGATGTTCCAGTAACAAAACTTACTCATTTCTTCCCTCCTTGGTTGATGGATGAGAACTATTCTGAAAAAATGATCCTGGGAAATGTATTCAGTCTTTGTACTATTTCAACTTTGGAAACAAAAAGACAGGAAAAAGTTATTTCGCCAGTCTAAGGAATATCCATATTGAATTACTTACAGAAAGAGTTATACAAAATGGAATAATAAATAATTGGCAAGGAAACTAGCTATTCAAGAACTGTGTTTAGGCATGGTTGCTAAGACAACCTTGTAATTTTTTTATTATGAAAAAAAATCTTCATCTTTCCATGCAATTATTAATCTTTTGTATTGTGGTTATCTTGATCAGGAAAAAAAATAATTAGTGGAAGTTCAAGAAGTTAGCTGTCCATTATTAGCACATTCCAACATCATTTAGGTGCTTCTTGAATCTTCATGAGGACTCTCAAAACACACAGCCCTTGCATTTTCTTTCCCAATCATTCCATAATATCTGCCAGAAGAATGCAGAGACACAGATTTCCCTACATGAACCTCACAGTACATCAAAATAACTAAAGAAGATTCTCATTCACAAAGATCTTACAAAAAGATTCAGTTTTCAGCAATTTGTTGGAATAATCACCCTTTCTGAGCTGGCCAAGAGTATCTAGAAATGGACTCATTTGAAAAAAAAATAAAACCAGACCAGATTTTCTGAGTCTCTTACTTAGAAAAGGAAAAAGCCACGAATTTGTTCAGACGCTTCTTGATATATAGAACCTCGACTAATTTAGGGAATGAGATAAGAAGAGAGAATGGTGTGGTTTTTTAAAGAAAATACTACAAAGGAAGTTGAGTATCTATAACAGATATAGTTAAACCAATTCTCATCATTTTCATTTCCAGACAGAACAAGGGGGGGCAGAAAGGAGTGCTTTGCTTTCTCCTACATTTTATAGATGACACTGCATAAAAAAAAAGAAAGCATCACCTACTGCGCTTAAAAAAGAGAGAATGGATGAGTCACTGGAGCCACAGCCAAACATAGAAGTGTTTCTCTTTTAGTCAAACAAAGCAGTGCTAGCAACAATCCAATTTTTTTTTTGTGGAACAGATACTGAAATCTGAACTGGAAAGATGGAAAACTAGTATGACTGAAGCAGAAAAATGTTAAATGCTCAAGTTCATGATTATTTTCAGGGTTTTGTCAGCTTTCAGGTTGTTTTTTCCATATCACACAATCTGTTGGGGCATAAATGCTTATAAATGTATATATGAGTGAGAATTTATCTGAATTTGTATTGTATACAAACAGCACACACACAACTGCAAACCAACGATTGGACTATTTCTTTTCCTGAATTATAACTTTTCAAACTCTCATGTTTGTTACACTTGTATGGTAACTATGAATCTTACAGTCTTACCTACAAATGTGCAACATCAAAATCTCAAGTTTCTGTTACTGTCTGTTTTACTCTGAAATGAAGCTTAGAAAGATCTTTTATGTTACTTAAGAACTAAAAAAACCTAATGTAAACAACCCCCCCAACAAAATACACAAATAAACAAATAAAAAGACCCCAAGCTTCAAGTTTGGTTTCCCCTGCAGCAATATCACTTAATTTTGGACTAATTATACAGTACTGTAAATCAAGCAATAATCTCAATTTCACTCTAAACCTTTAATATATGATTGCTTTCATGTCAATTATATTCAACTCAAAGTAGATATAAACAAAGACTTTTTTAAAAAATGGATACCTCAGTCTGACCTTCATGGGCACTGGATTCATGAGTGACACGAATAGCCTAAAATTAAAATACATTTCAATCAGACTTTAAATGAGAGACTTTCACTGTTGCAAGAACCATTTTTGCACTTCATTTTATCAATTGCATAGATGCAACTATTTTTGTTCAGAGCTTATAATAAATAAAAAAGATAATAAACAAATAATCTTCACTTCCAAGGATCTCAGAAGATCACTATTTCAGATTCATAACAATTCAGGTCAAATATCTGAGAACTTGTAATGGCACTTTTGCACACAGGAAACCCAACAAGCATTTTTTAGCTTTCATTTTGAGCAGAAAAAATAATTTAGATAGAAGCTCTGATCAGCCATTTTGTGACCACCATTTCCACAGAAAACATCATAAATCTCTGATGTTTCTGTTTGTTATTACTTCCTTTAGCCAGATGTTAACACTCATATTCCTGAGGGCTTCACAATATGCTAAAAGTGAACTCTGACTTAAAAACCATCAAGGTTTTAATTTTGAGAGAAGACCATCATTACCATCAGGAGCAACAGCATTGTTCTCCATCCACCACTGGCCAGATGTTTCTGCCACATCCTTACAAATAGAGCTAATGATGTGGCTAACCACACTATCAGCTAGCTCATCTCATGGTTTAGGATGGTAGGGGAAGGAGATCATATTTCAGCCAAATCAGCTCTTTGTGTGCCTCAACTGTTAAAGGCATGGAGATATGACTAGAAGGCACAAATTCAAAGAGGCAGTGAAAGGACCATCCTTTCAGCAATAGCCCCAGATCAGCTTAAATTGACCATTAAACTACATCCTGAATCCACAAAAAAAAATAAAAAGATTATGCATATATTTCTCATGCATTTTAAAGTACTTTTAAACTAAGCCAGGGAATTAATAAGGATGAGAAGAACATTGACAAAATCTGTTCTGCTGACTGAGCTATGGACAGGCAGGAATACTTTAAAATACCAAAGCAGAGTTTCCTTTGTAGCAAGTGTCTGATCACAAACTCACTGTAAAATCAAATTTATTTAGGTGCTTCACTAAGTCAACCCCCAAAGACAGTACTGGCTCATGCAAGTAATTCTTACACTGTTTTAAATAAAAGTAAAAACACATGATACTAACTTCGTAAGTTTCTAGGTATTTGGCCCTCTCCTCAGGAGTCATAGATAATGAATCTTCTAGGAACTTTTTCAGTGATGAATTAGTTTCTTAAAAAAATTTTAAAAAGACATAATTAGTGTCATGTTTTAATTCCAACTTCATTCACAGCTTACAGAATCCAACAAATTATCTAAAAATAGAAATGCACTGTATTTTTAAGATGCAGAAGGCTGACTGCAAGATCAACTGCTGCCTGCTGCACTTTGCAATGTTTTAAGTGCTTTAGTTCATAAATTAGTATAAAATATTAATTTTGTAATTATAGGTAAAAATGCACTCCTTTAGCCTTTATGAATAGTTATATTCAGAAAGAAATAGTACAAAACATATCTTCCCTCCATGGCTTCCAACAGTTAAGGAAAAAACCAGAAAAGCCAACAAAAACCAAACCAAAAAAATCTTACCGAAGTTCATTTTATCTCTGTTGTTTGCAATAGCATGAATTAGCCCAATTGTTCCACAAGCATTGTTAATGGTCTGCTTCATGAAATACACTGATGATTTGACATCTTGTCCCTTAGCTTTTATCCTCTCTTCTTCTTCTGTTCTGAAAGTTTCATACTAGAAGGAAAGTTAAAGACATTTCACAAGTAGTACAATTAGCTACGTTATACAAGACAAAACAATTTATAAAACACAACAGCTAATTAATACTGCCATTTAAATGTGGTCCAACAAATATATGTAAACTTACCTGATCTGCTCTATATTGTTTCTTAACCCAATGCCTTCACACTTGAAACATCATTTTGAATATGTGTTACCTAACAGAATTCCAAAAATTTTCAAATTATTTCCTTGATCTGAGCTCATGTCACCATCTCTCTTCAGTGCAACTAAGGGCTTTTTAAGGACAGAGGTGTCAAAGTGCTATCAAAAAAAACGTAATACTTCAGGTGATTAATCATCATGAAGCATTCTTTAAAAATTCCACTGTTAGATTTCATTTTTCCCAGGAATATAAAATAAAATCTATATAACACCCAAGGCCCCAAAACAGGCCCTTCTAAAGCCATATTCATAAAGTAAACTTTTATTTTCTGTATCAAAAAGAGAATTTGCTTTGACTGAACAATCTAATATACTTTAATAAAGATCATATTTGACTAAAATATCTGTTATACTGTGCAATAATGTGTTGGTTTTGTGGGTTTTTTTTTTGTTTCTGGCTGTGATTTGTTGGTTTTTTTTCAGGGGAGGAGTGTGTTGTTGTTTTTTTGACTGGATTTGTTTGAGGTTTTTGTTTATTTTATTTCTTTCATTAATTTTTAATTTCAAACAGAAAAAGAAAAAATAAATCCACAAATATTCCAGACAATGCTTCCTCCTTTCCCTCTTTTACTTACAAAAGTACCTTTTACTAGGTACTTTTGCAGCAAAAAAAATAATTCTGAAGTATATGGGCTTTTTATACAAGTATGACGAAAGTGAAGTATGAATCCAGAATGTTATCAACGAACACTTTCTGCAAACTCCTGAGAAATTTCCCTTGGGCTCTCTGTACTGTCAGTGACAGACAAAATCAAAAAACTTTTTCAGCATCCTATTCCACGTTTGCAGGTTGTCTAAATGTTCTGAATAGGCTAAGTAATAGCAAGAGCATTATAAACTATTTTAATTTTGTTTATCTACAAGCTAACAAAAAACAGCCTTGAGATAAAAATTTCATAGAGTTTAACTGAACAAAAAGTTCAGACTAGAGAGGTGAGGAATACAGCTGCCAGTCATTCCCTCCCAAACAGATAAAATTCACAGCAAAAATAAATATATAAATGCTGAGAACACCAAAACTACAATTTTGAGCAAGGGTTAGATCAGATCACCTCGAGACATTCCTCCTAACCTAAGATATATACCATAATTTATATTCATTTGGATCTATTCATTCATTAGGTCCAAAATGGCCAACACCCACGATATTCACTTTGTCTACAATCAACTATGCAGACTAAGAAAGCCATTGACCTTTAAAGTGGACAACAATCCTAAAATTATCTGTATGCTAACAAGAGTAGCTTGGCCTAAAAGCAAGTTCAAGGAAACTGATATACAGGACCCACAAAACAACTGAACTTCCAGACAGAAGAACAGACAGACATGTAAGAAAAGTGTTTACAAAGGCAGGAAAACTAATAGGCACTTTCATAAATGTAGACACAGCTCAGAAACAAATAAATCATAAATTAAATAAAAGTGTAATTTTACAGGCCATTTAGAAAGGGTGGCTGAAGAGGGAAAACTACTCTAGAAATACAAAATAATGCTCAAGGGTCTTGTGGAGTTCACACTGACCAACAAAGCTTCAGAACATTGGGACCTCCCATGAAACATTCATCCTTCACACAGCCAGCCTAGACAGTTGATAGAAACACTTGTGTCCCTCATGTTTCAGAAGGATTAACATGCTGAACACTTGGCTGGTTCTCAGATTTTACTGATTGATGTTTCTCTGGTTTTGTTTGTCATATGTTTCTTTAGGATGAAATCAGATACACCTTCTGGAACAGTAAGAGCAAAGTTATTCTTTCCTATGGGATAATGCTCCCACAGAATGATCCCACAAAAGGTTTGCACAAGCAGGGAGTCAAAACAAAAGTGACAGTCACAAAAGGAGCTCAGTCCTGTAGCACTAACAGCCAGACAGAAATGACAGCACACAGAAAACAATGCCTTAAAGGTGACAGAAAGGACATTTCCTGAAGACAGGTGCGTTGAAAGTTTGACTAAGCTCAAAACTGTCAAGGTGGCTGAAATCAAGCTTGAAAATTGCTGCTACAGAGCTGTTTTGGAGAAACTGAGAATTCAGAAGTTTACAGGACATAATGTGTAGGAAGACTGACCTGTCACTCCTCCCTATTTAAACACCTCTTGTTGTACAAATTAAGTGTCAATAGGTAAGTGATTTATCCTCATAAGCTACATATTATTTTTGAGAGACATATTAAAAGAATGAATTGTGGACAAACTCACTTCAATCTTTCTGGCTGACCTTATCACAATCATGTGATACTCTTATAATTGAAAGATCAATATGAATCACACTACTAAAAGCATGATGACACAAAATAAGCACATTGAAGGTTTAAACAAAGCAAGTTCTTCAAAGTCCAACATAGTAAAAGACGGGGAGAAAATTGTCTTTCATCTTAATAATATGTTCCATCTGTCCAAGAAGTGAAAGCCACATCAATACTGATGACTGAACTGGAAGTGGACTGAAGTGGATTGAAGTTTGAAAGATTTTCAGTGTAACAGAAGAAAAACTAAAAAAGGAGTTGCATATTGTCCTACACACTATTTCTTATTTTCCTTATGCTATTGGAGTCTTCTGCTAAAATTAGACAATTGAGCCATTTTACAGTGCTTATTATGAAAAATACCTTAAATTGCCTTAAACTGTGAGGCATATTTCTCTGTGCTTCTACATTAGCTTTTCCCCATTCTGATTTGAAAAGAAATCAGAAATATACATGCAAGGTTATCAAAAGAAGGTTCTGAAAGAAGCATGTTTTGTGATATTTTTAATGAAGAGGTCTCTTAAATAAAGCTGGAGTCTCGTCTTGATTCTAATATGATAACAAAGTACAAGATTCAAACTTTCATTCCCATTTCACTTATGATCAAAGCAATTAACTGATTATTAAATAAACATTTACCTTTTCTGTTATTGGAAAAAGAAGTAGTACTGCACATACAGGTCTTGGCACCATGCTAAGCAGTTCTGGTTCCATACCATAAACATCTACAAATTGCCAGTCAGGATGTATACCCAACTGTTTCAGGAACTGGAAAAGAAAAAAAAAGCATAATATTAAACAAGTACACTCAAAAACCTATCTTGTCAAATGCATAACAGAGTATCGACAATGTGATTAAAACACATTAAAACAACACGTTTCCTAAAATATAAGGAGAATAAAAGAAATACAAGTTTTAATAGATAAGGCTGAATAAATCACACACAAATACACAGGGAGTCCCCATGTTTTATGTATTTAAATAGTCCTTATAGAAGTGGAAACACTCCCAGCACTATTTACTGAAGCATTAAAGCATTTCAACCATTTTAAATGTGTTCTGTCACAAAACAGAAGAGTACTGCATATTCATGTTAACTAGAAAACGTCAGAGCACACATGAACAAACTTATGGTATTATTTGACTCCATGAATTCAAAATACCTGGCACCAGTGTTCATATTGGAGCTCCTACAAGCAAAAGTATGTTAGGAGCAAAACCACACAATATTTACACTTTAGTAGGTGTACCTTTTACAAGAAAAATCCATTCAAACTGTGATGGAGTAATATATTTTGAAGATTGGATACTGACTTTTTAATTGGATATTCCTTTACTCAAGTGAACTAGGCATCACAACAACAGTTGCAGAATTAATAACTAGAGATGATCTAAGACAATTTGAAATCTTTTCATTGTCAGTCTTGAGGAACATAACTGAATTCAGGAATTGTTACAATACACACACAATGACCATTCACAATTATATGAAAAAACTAATTGTACACTGTGGCATATACAGATCTTTGAATGAACATGGAGAAAAGGGGAAGCGTTAAGAATTTAGTAACTGATGAAACAGAAGACAGTGTATTTTGAACTTCTATTCTAACCTTCTACATTGTGAAGACAACTACCACTCTGTGAATAGCAAAAATTAAAAAATTTCAAAAGAGAAGGGACTACGTGTATGGGTGAATTAAAATATTAACTGTACTTCTAGTACTTCTCTTATTAAGCCAGTGATTAATCTACCATTTTTATTGCAGGAAAAGTAACACAACTGAAAAAATTCCATTTTCCATTCCAATATAATTTAATATTTTGCAATATTACATGGAATAAGGGTACAAACACCCAAAATAAAAAAAAATAAACAACACTCACCTAAAAAAAGACCCCACAGACCAGGAAAGACAAGGATAAAGGATCCCATTAAGTTATTGCACAAATAAGTGATTTAGATTCTCTTCTCGTTTACTATACCACTGCGGGAAAAAAAACCTCCAAGCAACCAACTAACAAAAGTAAAACCAACCCCTTTGAACCCAAAGTCAACAAAATGCTAACTAAACCCAAGAATGGTTTACTCAAACTCCTGAATTAAGAATTTAATGGAACTAAAACTCCATGAATACAGGGAACCTTTCATTATTCTTGTTACCATACCACCTACAAACTTTACAATCAGAGAAATTTTAACTTCCAGTAAACAATGAGAGCAACAATGAAAAATGATGGTCAGCACTAGAGAGAACAGCAAGAGCATAGGCTTAGTATGACAAGCAGTGATCTTAACACACAGCCAGACTAACAACTCTACTGTAGAATCATAAACTAAAAATCAAATACTAAGGATAGACCCAAAATAGGCAAAGAAGGTATCTGTGTGTCCAGAGGGTTTCATGCAGGCTTAGAAAAAAAAATAGAAATATCCTTCTGAAAATTTTTAAGCAGATTTTAAAAACTGTGCAACGTAAGTCCCTGTGTAAGAGAGACTGACAGATGGTAACAGATGAACAATAGATGGCAGGATGGGAAGACAAAGTCATTCCTGTTTTAGGACAGCAGGAAGTTCAGTACACTTTTTAGACACCGTCACTGTCTAAAAAGGTAAGAGATTGCTGCTGTTTTCCTTTCCAATTATTTAGGGATTATCCAAGAAATCTTATTCTACAAATACCTACTGTAAAGAACAGTTAGGGTTCTTTGAGGGCTCACTCATTTTCAGCTGTTCACTTTCTCTTAACTTATTGATACTATATACACAAGATAAAATAGCAGCTTCACAATTCTATAGATCAGCACAAGAGAGTATCAGAATCTTTTTCTCAAACACTGCTTATCACACTGCTGACAATTCTTAATTTATAGGTCTTTGAGCTCTTACCTTATTAAAGAAAAAAAAAAAGAAAAATATTTGGCTATATTACAGATGTCTTAGAGGACCTCAGGAAGAACAACAGCAGCAACACAAGAACCCCCACGCATTTGTATCTAGGATTCACTTTTTCACAACTTTATTTTTACAGATTGTTTTCATAGTTTTGGTTGTCTCTTTTCTTGTTTTAAATGACCTTGCTGAAAAACACGTCCTGGTTTTTCACTGGTTCAGTTAACCAGTAGACAAAAAGCCACTTTAGAAACTACTTTACACCCCTCACCCTTATCTGCACTTCCTATGAATTTGTCCTTTTTGCCCCAATATTCCAGAAGGCACTTCTTTCTCACCTGACTACTACTGCTTATAACTAGCTAAGGGAGAGCACAGAGAAGATGGAGACAGATTCAGCAGCACACAGTAAAACAATGAGAAACAGGAGGGTGAAACATAGTTAAATTTGAACTTTATAAGGAAAGCATTTAAAAATAAATTTAACAGATAATAATCATAGTCAAACATTAGCACAAACTGTCCAGGAGTCTGCGGAGTTTGTGTCTTAAGAAATTCAGAATTTGACAGGTTGCTGAGCAATTTGTTTTGGACAGAACATGGTTGGTCTGCAGAACTCAAAAGCCCCTTCCAGCCTATTTTATTCTATTCTAAATGATCACAAATTGTTAATCCGTATGTCTAAATTTTGGCTAATAGCAAAAACATTACAATAGGTACTTCTAGGCACTTTACCTCTGCAGCATGTAGTAAAAGCTATTCTTTATGGAGATGCAGGAAGGGTAAGTGGGATAAGACAATGTAAGTGTGAAATTTATTATAAACTTATGTAGTAAATACACAGTTGAAATATCATTTAAGCAGCAATGTGCTTTTGTACTCTGTCACTTTCATGTAAAAATGAAGTGAGGACAAAAAACCGATACAAAATAGGGGTCTGAAATTTAAGTGCAATTAAAGCTGGACAGCATCTGCAAATAGTTCAGGAACATCACATTTTAAACACTAAGGCATTTTAGTTAGGATCTGGATTTTTCCACATTTTACTGTGGTATTTATATAAAAAGTTGGAACCATGAAAACATAAAACTGGCAAAATTCACAAACATTTCCAGACTCTCAGATGCTGAAGTCAAGAGAGCTTCTGTGGGAAGAACCAACTGTTGCCATCCTCTTCTAAGCACAAATGTAAACCAAACACCCACAGCATCTACATTTTATTGTACTTCTGCTGAATGCATTAAAACATCTCTATATCACAACAAAACTACAGTTAAGACTTTCCTCTTTAAAAATGAAGGGTTTCTATGACTTTAGGAAACTGGAAGGACAACATATAAATAAACCAATTAAGACAATCAATATTTTCTAACTTTTTCATTAAAGCACTAGAATTTTTTTAACTCTATTGGACTGAAGGTAATTTTTTCCCTAAATAGTAGTAAAACACTGAGTAAAATTTAACTGATTAAATTATCATAAAGAAAGGGAACATTATTTCTTTCTTAAAATATCCAATTCTTATTAATCTATGTTAAACATACAAACGCACAACATTCTGCTTTTAATTCTTTACACATCATTTCTAGAAGCATGTAAGAAAACCAAGTCTATTTCAGATGTGAAATTTCTTTCTAGAAATAAGGGAACCATCCAAACAATATTTTATTGTTGGAGCATTATAAGGATATATTTTTTCATTCTTTCATCATGATATCTATGGAATTAAAATGAAGGAATAATTTTCCAGTACATTTTAGAGAGAGTGTCATTTCAGTCATATGTAGCAACTGTGAAAACTTTATTTCTCTACAGCAGGTCAAAAGGCACACCAGGAGCAAAGAGATAGTTGGAACTTACATAAGCTGCATTATTCTTCTTTACCAACTACTACTCACTTAGAATGGCCACAGTGTGATCAAACAAGAGATGATACATTATAATAGACTTCCTTGGGAAAATCAAACTTTATTAAAAATTCTTTAATACCTTTTAATATCCTCAGGTTCTGTACCTCAGGACACCATAATAAAGTTCAAAGAATACAGCCCATCACAAATTTTTTTCAAAAACATGAGAAAACTTACATCCACTACATTCTTATCCTTCCAGTTGTGTTCATTACTTTATGGTGTCTGAAAGAGCAACACTGACTCACAGTTAGTATTCCTGTTCTTCAAAATGAGAGGCATATATTTTTCACATATCCATACAGCAGTTTTGAAACTTAACTCTCAGTGCCCAGGCACTGCTGTACGTATTCCACCAGGGCATTGCACAGGCAGCAATGCAAAAAAAAGCACTTAGAAATCTGGACGAACCAGCTGACCCAGGCTTCCTCTGAAACCAGTGAGCAAGCGCTTTAAAATGCTTCCAGCAGAGTCCTGAGGGGTTGATACTGAGTCACTGACTCAAAACAGAATACTGTGTTATTCTTTGAGAAACACTTAACAGACCTGTTTCCATGGTCTAAAAAGTTACTTATAACAGGGACAAGCTGGATCAATCCCCTTTTCTATTTCAGTTAGATACACATTTCTTCTTTTTACAGTTTACTGAAACAACCATTGGATTCCACTGACCCTGCTGGTCCTTTAAGCAAGGAAAATGGCAAAGTGGGAAACAGCATTTTCAGCACAGCAAGATAATGTATAAGGCACGAACAACTGTCACTTGTTTTCCACTTTGCAGCACCCCATTCTGTCTTCAAGATAGTAAGGGTTTCCTTGTAACAAGAACTAAGAAACTGAGTGAAAAAGAACACAAGAAGGACCAGAAGTGGCAAGTACAAGTAGAGGAATGAAATACATGGTTTTCTTAGCTTTCAATTACTGAAGAACATACAAAGACTGAGCTAAGGCAATCTTTCAGCTATTCATATAAATAGTACTCTAAACCCCAAAACAAGTTACAATTTTCCCTGTGCAACATATTTACCTATTTAAACTCCCTAAGCAGGCTACAGAGCTGGAGATATTTTAAAGTAGAAGAAGCTATTCAGGAAGGGGTCACCTACAATTCCTTCATATTTATCCTTGTGCTTATTCTTTGCTATGCAGCATCACAGGCTCAACACTCCCCCTTTGCTGGCTCTGTGAAAGGCTTTCTGGGATATTGTCTTTACAGAAAGGATGGAATCCTGATTTTCCACTTTCTGAGGCTACATGAGTAATAACAGGCTGTTTTCCAAGCATGTACACTATCTCCACTATTTTTTACTCTACTTAGCACAGAAGAGTTAAACTCCACTCCCTCACCTGAAAAAAAAAAAATAAAATAAACTTAGCTAGACATTTTTAGAAGGAGACCTGTGTTTCTGCACATCGAACATCCTTTCACACCAAGACAGTACCTCAGTACCTCATCTCTGAGTGCCAATGCACTTCAGGAATCATATGTGCTGCATTTGCAATTATTTTAATCACTACAGATTTTCTTTGGGAAAACTTGTGGGATAGTGTTTCAGAATCCAGGAAATTAAAAGACCTTTTAGGAAGACTAAGGCCTCCTTCCAAGCTACTTAATTCTCTGTATTTGCCTGACACCCTAAAGAGAGGTGTTCCATAAATGGAACTGTAACCATAGTAGCCATAAACTGGCTGTATCCAGTTTCTGCCATTTGTTCTATGCTTTGTGAGCTTTATTGTCCCTGTAACTTTCAAGTCACAGCTGTCAACGGTGTTCATGAGCTAAAATAATTTTGTTTAGGCAGCTGAGTCTCAATACCTTAATGGTTTAAAAAACTCAAAACCCCAAACCCCCCAACAAGTAGGACCAAAGGCCTAAAAATAACACTGGAAGGTAACTAAGAACCAGCAACTAAGCCCTATCGGACAAGAAAAACTCAAGCCACAGCCAACAGTCAGTAGCTGAACTCTGAAGCCAGTGCTTGAGCTTCATAATCAGATGCAGTCAATTACTCCAACCTTATCTGGATATAATGAAGGCATGAGTTGAAACGCTATCTTATCCAGGAAACAGGGATATTTCTTAGAATGTGTAAGAGGAAGAAAGGGAAGAGAGAATGAAAAAAGATGGGACATTAAGAAAAATATCCACCAATACTATTTGTTTATCTACACTTCGTAGGCAATCAATTGTGGGTTGCAAGCCAGACTGAAGCAACATTATGATGAAGAACAATCAGCTTGTGTTCTGATGTTTTCACTCACTCCAAAACATTTCCATGCAGTTTTTTCTTTTTTCCCCCAGAAGAAATCGGAAACAAGATAAACAAACATCATATGTCTGGTAATTGATAAACATGATTTTCTTGCTTTCTCTCAGGAAAATCCTGTAAGACATCTAAGAAGGAGAGTAGCACTGGTCATGTCAAGCTCCCCAACAGAAGGTCAAAGAGAAGAAACCATTCCCTGTCCCACATCACTGTACAAAAAATAGAGCTTTGTAAATGCTGAATCATCAACTCTTTCTGTATCAGAGGTAGACAACAATTCATTCTGTCAGACTGTAGAAGTGAAGGAGAAAAAACAGTACTGTGACAATCACTTAGCACACTATGGTACATTGAACTCCTGATTTCCCTCATTACAACCAGCACTGTGTGCTGCACTGAATGACTGTCTTCTCTCTTGAAAACATACAGACACATGGCAGATATCCTCTGCCACTGGAAATTTTTAAAGCTAAGAAAGAATATTCCTATTTATTCTCACCAGCCAGCTTATGAACCTTCAAATAATTTTAACACATATGAACAAAGAGAGGTTCTAGATTAAGGATTTATAAATTCCTGGACTTGTATTATAACATAAACACTTTCAGATGGAGAAAAACTTCTGAGATATTTTTGAAAGACTTCACATACCTCTAATTGAGAAATACCATTTTTTGCCATTATCATTTTGTCCTGGGGTGACTGTATGCTCCATTCTGTTTCCCCCAAACCAGATGGAGGAGGGGCCTCTAAAATCTGCTTTCTAGAGGAGACCCCTTCAGAGGTTTCCTCCCAAAATTTGCCCTAAAGCAGGACACATTTGAATTTCTACTACAAAGACTGAAAACCTCAAATTTACAGCCTTTATGTCAAAATCAGAGAAAACACAGTATTGTAAGAACATAGTAAAAGCAAATGAACCTGCATTAGTGCAGTTACTGTACTAATTACCTTACTAGTTACTGTTAAGAAGAACCATAAAATGATTGGTACAATAATCAAAAACAGTGTAAGCACTTCTTGACTTTGAATGAAACTTCTAATTACAATCTAACACTATGAATCTATCCATCTTACAGGTCACTGGAATTTTTTTTTTGTTTAAGACTTCATTACCTAGCAATAATTTTAGCACTAACGAAAGCAGTAAGCATTAGGGATAGTCTAACACTCAACTAAAAAAAGCCAAGTTTACAAAAACCAACCAACCAACCAACCAAACAAACCCCAAGAAGAAATATTTGGCACTTGGCTAGATGTCTGTCCAAACACACGCATTAAATGACTACCAGACACAAATATTACAGTTTGTAAGGCACACCTTTGGGTTTTTTACTGATAAAGACTTCTAGAATATTTTACAGAGCACAGTACAGAGTATTACAAGAAAGCCCATCCTTGCAATTAACTCAACAAGATTTTCTAAAAATTAGTTTGCAACTTCGTTAGAATTTCAAATTACTATTATTTGAATAAGTTGTTTTAAACACTAACAAGATATGAATAATTGATGACTAACAGCCCTGTTGCTACACAGTTCACTACTGTACTGATGAGATTAAAAGAACAATGATTAATAATGCAAGGTGTGTTCATATTCAACACCCACCTTTTTTTTTTTCTTTTTTTCTTTTTTTTTTTTAAATATACATCTCTCAGTCTAGATAATAACAATCCCTGCTCAGTCAAGACTGGAAAACATAGTGAAGGAGGAAGTCTAATTGGTTTCAAGTGGCCTTTTCTACACAGAAACAGTAAGAAGAAAATTAATGCGGAGTACAAATTTCTATGATCCATGATCATCTACAACGGATACATTCATCACCAACAGGCAACAGAGGTGGATTTTAAACACACTTACAATTGTTCATTTGACATTCCTCTTGGATTTTCTCCATACAACAGAAACACACAGGGATACATGACATTTCAGATTAAAAAATATCATTATATTTTCCTCCTCAATTTCTACTTTAAAGATGGTCTTAATTTATACCATGATGAGCTCATCTCAACAACTGGAAAGTCAGAAGTTAGATAATTGGAAATTTTTACTAGCTATTTATTCACTTATTTTCTTCCAAACTGGAATTTAGTCTCTGGATTTCAAAATTTAAAAAAAAAAAAAAAAGAAAGAAACTATAGCACATGTTCAAGATGGGCTCCCAGGAAAGGTTATCAATTTTAACTCAGGAGACTGGGATTTTAGACTTCTAAAATCACTCCACAGCAGCAATGCTGTAAGAATTGTAAAATTATTTGCCCTAGAAAACTATAAAGCACAAAATGACCCAGCAAACAAACCCTTCACTCTCCTGCAGATGTTGTTTGCATATTACAGTAACCACAACAACAAAAAAAACCCAAACATTCTTCATACACAGAAATTCCCAGTTTCCAAAATATTTCAACACTATAGTTTTAAGAATACAATTTTGCTGCTGGAAGTTTCAGAGGCCTTTGGCTTAAGCACAATCGTTAACATTATCAACAGGCCTGCTGAAATCAACAACTGACCATTAACGCTGTGCTCAAAACTGTCACTGAGAACATGATGTGGGGTTAGAGTATGTGTGATTTCCTTTCAGCCAGAGCTTATTTAGTGGGAGCATTGTTTTGTGTACTAGAACAAGCTTCCTTTCTCTAGCGTGGGTTCTACCACGCTAACAAAACCAGCAACCAATCATGCACGTATTGTCATGAATAAGCACCAACGTGCTAATATGGTAAAATTAAATTATTTTTTATGGTCAGCCAAAGAAGAATGAGACTACAACACAGTGATGAAAACAGATCCATACATGTGCCCAAAGCCATCAAGAACAGGTCCACACCTGGCACACGTTATATACAAATTAATGTTTTAATCGCTAATTAATGAATTAAAACCCACCTTGAAAAACATCAGAGATTTCATTACAGTAATAGCCAGACCACAGCTATTCTCTTTTTACTGCTCGTTTTTCCTTCATATGGTATCTTTACGAGTGAGGTTCACGTACGATACATGAGAAGACTGAGCGCAGACAAGCGTGGGGAAGAAAGGGGGCACTCTCCTTGGACAAGGAGCCTTTACTAAAAGAAAACGAGAGGAGACGGGCCCAAAGCTGCAAAGACTAAAGGTTACCTCAAATAAAACCTTCTTACCTGATTCGTGACCTGAAAAGAAAGCAGAAAACAGAATGGAGTTAAGACCCAGTTAGATCCACAGAGTAAGACATTCTTCCATCCCTCTCCACCCCTGTCACTACCAGCCACCCCTTAAGAGGTGATGTGCTCCTGCGCGGCCCGGAGCCCTCTGCCTTGTCTCCTCCGCCACCCTCCCGCTCACCCCACCGCAAGCAGCCTGTCGGGCGGGCAGCCCCCCACAGCAGCGCCCCACCGCCCAGGCCGGGCACTCACGTCGGGGTTGGCCTCCAGCGGCAGCCAGCGATGAGGCTCCATGGCAGCGGCGGCGGATCCCGGTGCGGAGCTGGGCGAACCCTCTCAGCGCGGCTCTGACAGCGCCTCACGGTGCCGCCGCGCCTCAGCCCTGACCCCGGGCCGCGTCACCGCGCNNGGGGCTGGAGCCGATCCCGGCGGGAGCCGCGGGGGTGCGGGGAGCGCCCGCCAAGTGCTCCGGCAGCCCGGCCCCTCCGAAGCGGCTTCCAGCAGCTAAGCTGAACCGCGGCGGGGAGGAATGGGCAGCGTTCAGGGAAATACGCCCGCGGGCAACGGGGCAGGCCGCCATGCGAGGCGACAAAGGGAGTCAGAGGAGCTGCTGAGCAGCAGTGGCAGTAAATTACCCCCAAAATCACAGAATTTTCTGAGTTGGAAGGGACCCATAGGGATGATGGGAGTGCAGTTCCCGGTCCTGCACAGGACGTCCCCAAGAGTCACACCATGTGCCTGAGAGTATTGTCCAAAGGATTCTTGAACTCGGTCAGGCTGGTGCTGTGACCACATCCCTGGGGAGCCTGTTCCAGTGCCCAGCCACCCTCTGGGTGAAGAACATTTTTCTGTTATCTAAACAACTTCAGGGCACTCCCTCAGGTCCTGGCACTGATTGCCAGAGAGAAAAGATCGGTGCCTGCTCCCTGGCTTTATCTTGCCTGAAAAGACCTCAGTGTAGCAGTAAGAACTTGGGTGGTGAGGTCCCCATATATCCTGCTGAAAATTACTGCTAGATGTGTTAAACACGATTAAAAACATGATTTATTTTCTCTGGACAATTAAACATGCAATTTCTTGGCCTTTTGGCTAAGATGAATCGCAGTCTAATACATACATAGCATATCCAGTGTGATTACATTTTATATATGTACACATACCATAGATTTAGGATTAAGATTAATATTAATTAGATTAGATTGTTTAGATTTAGCATTATACCTTCTTTCAAGTTATTTCAGAAAGGCTACAAATAAAGGAACACATCATGGCATTGGTGAGGCCACACTTCTGGTACTGTGTCCATTCTGGAATCTGCAGTTCAGGAGGGACATTGAGGTGCTGGAGTATTGAGACACCACCAGTTTATTCACCAGCCTTCACAGAAGTAAACGTGAACACTGTTTATTTCTATCTTTAGCACACCTTTTTTAGGGTTTTACAGGGTCTGCGGGCAGAGCAAGCTACTATTGGCTAACACACACAGGTTTACATTTTTTCTCCTACACACAAGGATATTGTTTTGCTTTACTCTTCTGCATGAAGGTTTCAAGGACTTTAGCCTTTAATATCACGACTTATTTCAAAGGCTGGTTTGTGCATACAGGCTTTTACTAATATATAAAATATATCAACACTGGAGCAAGCCCTGGAGAAGGGAAAAAAGATGGTGAAGGGTCTGGAGAGCGCATCCTGTGAGGCACAATTGAGGGAGCCGGGGTTGTTTGACTTGGAAAAAAAAGGGAGACCTTATCACTCTCTACAACTATTTGGACAGAGATTATAGCCAGGTTGGGGTCAGCCTCTTCTCCCAGGTAACCAGTGACAGATGGCATAGTTATAAGCTGTGCCAGGGGAGGTTTAGTTTGGACATTAGGAGGAATTTCTTCACAGAAAGAGTGATTAGATACTGGAATGGACTGTCCATGGAGGTGGTGGAGTCACCATCCCTGGAAGCATTTAAGGAGAGACTGGACGTGACACTGTATGCCATGGTGCAGTTGACATGGGATGTTCCATCATAGGTTGGACCTGATGATCTCAGAAATCTTTTCCAACCTAATTGATTCCATGATTTCTCAGCCCCAGCTGTCCCCGAATGCTGCTGCTCACCACTCTCTACAGATGCAGATGACCTAAACAGGCCCTTGCAGCATTTGCACAGGGCCTTTGGCTTTCAGAAGCATCTATTTAGACAAGGTTTTTCTAGAAGTCGGTGAGCTGGGCCTCCCAGAAAGACTAAGGGCAATGGGAAACAGGTGCTTGAGCGTGAATCTACATCTGGTGTGAGCAGAGAGGGGGCAGGAAAGCTGGGAACTTTGCCAGCTTGCAGGTAAATTGCAGTGAGAGGAGGAAGGAGTGCAGGATGAGGAGCAGATGGTGTCTCCAGGCACTGTGGTAACTAGGAGTATCCAAGTGCCACGAGGCTAAAAAGGGCAGAGTGTTGGGGACACCAGCCAGATCAGGGCCCAGGCATTGGAAGAACCCAACTAAGATGTGCTTTCTCCTGTGTGCCTGAAGAGCTTTTTGAAGAACTTTAGATGGTTTTGATGCAAATTATATCCCATTCTGTAAATATTAAATGTAGTAAATTAAGTAAATTACCTAATGATGCTCTTATTTCAGTTATCACTTAGCAGGGCTATGGTAATGCTGTATGCCTATGCCTGAAGCTTCTGCTTTGGCCTATCAACAATACTGTAGCATCTCTACTTGTAGCTCATGACATTTCTAATTTCTATACAACATCTTCTCATATGAAGTTCTTGGTCCTTCTCTAGCTAAAAGATGGGCCTGTAATATCAGATCACAATCTTAATGTGCATCTGCATTCTCTGCTATGAAAAATGTCATGGAAATCACTTCCAGAAGGCAGAATTTTCTAAAGATGCATATTTTAACTCTGTGGATAGGCAGACAAGTCAAAATCCATTCAAATTTCACTATTTTACCTTCTGTTCCAAATTTAAAAAAAAATAATCCATATTTATATGCCTATGAAAATAGATCCAAAATATTTTAAAATTTCACCAAATGATTTTGTAATTACCTAACCACCAAGATATTAAACTTCACCTCCCATCTCCACAAGCTGGAGATAGAAAGTAAGAAAGAAGAGTACCATAATGAATATTAGTTATAGTTCTAAGGGCACTACTGAGAAACTTAATGAAATTGTATATAAAATAATACGTGAAGTTCTCTAGATAACAAAGTATGTATGAGTTAGGTAAGTTAAGAACAAAGAGATTATTAAGTCCTCAGCATCAAAGACAGATCTCAGTGACGCACACATTGCACACCTTTTGACAACCATGAGGTCGTAAAACATAGACTACTCAAAATCATTTGCACGCTTAATTAGATACTTTAGAAGGGAGAGACCAAGATCAGACCAGTCTTATGACTGGTATGTATAAAGCCCTGTTTTTACACACCATGCTCCATAATGATTAGTCTTTGCCTGAAATATATTATAGATTCTGATACCTGCAAGATAGGCTGGAAATAAATCCTCATAGACCACTGTCTATACAGCAGGTATTTGTTTATTGCAGTGCTGGTGGTGAGAAGGATTTGTCCACCTAAGTCTCCCACCCTTGTCAAGTGCTGTGGTACCTTTATACAGTAAGAATTGTTTAGCATCACTATGTCACCACAAAATCATCACATATGCAACAGAACTGATTTACATAATATGATCTTATGGTTATTAGATAGTTCTTTTTTCACTGCGCTTGCATCTCCCCAATTCAGGGGTCGTTGGGAGTCTTTGATGAAGTCTTCCAAGGTCGTCTTCGCAACTGAAGTTTTCAACTTCATCTTGGGAGCATGTGCAGTTACAGTGTTCCTTGATCTGTCTGGTCTTAATGGGCCTAAATTCTTTGTTTTGTGGCTAATTGGCTTTGCACTTGCCAATTTTTCATTAGTACTGTATCTGCCTTTAGAGCTATCCACCTGGTGAGTTTTTTTCTTTTTTTTTTTTTTTTTTTTGTCTATTCAGCATTAAGCAACTAGTTAACCATTTACTAGCCATTACATTGTATAAAAAGTTATGATTCAGGTTATGTAGGTATAAAAAGCGTTCAGTACGAAGCTACCCTAAGTGGGGTGTGCACACAGAACAGGCGTCAGCTCCCCTGTGAAGACAGGCTGAGGAAACTGGAGCTGTTCAGCCTGGAAAATAAAAGGTCGTGTGGAAACCTCATGGCAACCTTCCAGTGTCTGAAAGGGGACCTCTATGGAGAGGTCAATATGTGGAGGGGCTGGAGAGGGACTCCTCATCAGGAAATGTAGTGACACGGAGAATGGGTGCATACAAACTGAAAGTGGGGAAATTTAGGTTAGGTATTAGGAAGAAATGCGAAGGTGTTGAGGCACTGGAATGCGTTTCCCAGAGAGTTTGTGGATGTCCCATCCTTGAAGCGCTCGAGATCAGGTTGGATGGGACAACCTGGTGTACTGGGAGGTGTCCCGCCCATGACAGGGGACTGGGGCTGGATGATCTCTAGGGCCGCTTCCAATCCCTTAACATTCCATAGTTCTGTGATTTGCATACCTGCGCCTTTGACAACCAGCACCAAGAAAACCCTGTCAGCAAACCAATCTCAGCAAACAACTTGTTGCGCGCCCCAACCCCGCCGAGGCCTGTCCCGCATCCCGCTCCGTGAGGGCGGGAGCAGCCCAGCGGGCCGGGAGCAGCGCGTGCTCCGCGCGCCGCAGCCAATCAGCGCGGCGCCACTGCCGCCGCCTCGCTCTGGGGGCGCTCG